AGGTTAAGTGACATGCCCAAGGTCACACAGCGAAAGTGGCAACTAAAGTCCACATTCTTTCCATTCATCGGTAGCTCTGTATGTTGGTTCCATTCACTGGGTGTTCTGCTGAAGTGTCACACGCTGCCCTGGCAGGTCCTCGGTGGGTGGCCAGCATCCTCGTGTCGTATTTGTTTCAACACCAGGTCCACAGCTGGGCCTGGGGAACACAGAGATGAATCAAGGGAGGCCCCTGCCTGCGAGGGGCTCCCTGTCTGGAGAGGAAGCCAAGAGGGAGAAGAGCCGGTCACCAAGAAGGAGGAGTGTCCTGGGGCTGCCGCAACAATTGACACAAACCGGGGGGCTTAAAACAACAGAAATGCACCCTCTTACAGTTCTGGGGGCCAGAAGTCTGAAGTCAAGGTGTCAACAGGGTTGGTTTCTTCCGAGGAGGCTCTGAGGGACACTCTGTCCCAGACCTCTCTCCTGGTTGCGGGCCTCCGGGCAATCTTTGCTGCTCCTTAGCTTGTAGCCCTATCGCTCCAATCTCTGACCCCGTCTTCAAACAGCCTTCTTCCCTGTGTCTGTCTCTGTGTCCTTTCTCTTATAAGGACACTTGTCATTGGATTTAGGGCCCATCCTAATCCAGGATGATCTCTTCTCAAAACCTTTAATTACATCTGGAAAGTAAGGTCTTTCCAAATAAGATCATATTCACAAGTACCAGGGGTGAGGTCTTGGATATATCTTCTGGGGACACATTCAACCTACTACCCATGGTGATAAGGCAGGGCCGCAGGAAGCTGGGCTGAGGAGGAGAAAGTGAACCATCCCACAGGAGCACAGAGCCACCTGGAAAACTTCCTCTGAGGGGCTGCAAGAGATATAGCCATTCACTGGCTCATTCATCCGTCCAGTGAATGTTTATTGAGCACCTACTGTGTGCTGGGCTGGGCTTGAAGAACAGGATGGATCTGATATAGACCCGGGTCCCACCATCCCTGTGCTTCACACACTACTTATGGGGGAGACAGAAAAAAAAGCAAACAAGTAGATAAAAATAATAACTAATGGTGGAAAAGTGCTATAGAACAAATAACAAAGGGGTGGAGAAAGGAACTCTACAGCCCAGGGAGGGGCTGGTGGGAGTGGGGTGGGGCCAGGGGAGCCTGGAAAGCCCACTTACGCAGAAATGCATAGAAGATGAGCTGAGGACAGCCTTTTTGACAAATGGTCCTAGAACCACGGGTATCCACGTGCAAAAAAAAAAAAAAATTAAGTCAAAATGGAGCATTCACTTAAATGTAAAATGCAAAACTATAAACCTTCTAAACAACATAGGGGAAAATCAAGATCACCTTGGGTTTGGCAATGACTTTTTAGATACAACACCAAAAGCACAATCGATGAAAGGAAAAATTGATAAGTTGGACTTCATTAAAACGAAAAACGTCTGCTGTGCAAAAGGCACTATTAAGAGAATCAAAAGACAAGCCACAGACTGGGAGGAAATCTCTGCAAAACACCTTTCTGATAAAGGACTGGTGTCCAAAACATACAAAGAACTCTGAAAACTCAATAAGAAGGTAAACAACTCAGTTACAAACTTCGCTGAAGATCTGAACAGACCCCACACCAAAAAAGACATTCAGACCGCAAAGAAGCACATGCAAAGATGCTCCACATCACACGTCATCAGAGAACTGCAAATTAAAACAACGCAATACCACCACACACCTATTAAATACAAAAAACTTGTCTATCCGACGTTGGCGAGGGTGTGGAGCAACAGGAACTCTCGCTCATTCACTGCTGGCAGGATGCACATGGCACAGCTACTCACAGTTCTATCCTGAAAGCCACCAACTGCATTCCTAGGTGTTTATCGAGTTAATTAAGCCTGCACTTGGATGTTTACAACAGCCCTATTCAACCTATACTCACGACAGCAGCTGTCCAGTCAGACGCTGCTCAGCGACGGGGACACGTTCTGAGAATGCGGCGTCAGGCGAGTCCCTCACTGTGTGAACATCATGGCGTGCACTTACACAACCTACATGGTCTAGCCTGCGACACCTACGCTATACTGGACTAATCTTACAGGACTACTGCCGTCTATGTGGTCCATCATTGACCAAGACGTCTTTATTTGGCACATGACTTGATTGCCAAAAACTGGAAGCAACCAAGATGTCCTCCAATAGGTGAATGGATAAATGTGGTCCATCCAGACAATGGAATATTATTCAGCACTAAAAAGAAATGAGCTATCAAGCCATGGAGGAATCTTAAATACATATCGCTAAGTGAAAGAAGCCAGTCTGAAAAAGCTACATACTGTGTGATTCCAACTATATGACATTCTGGAAAAGGCAACACTATGGAACCTAACAAGGGGTTAGAGGGGAGGGAGGATAGGGGGTGGAACACGGGATTTTTAGGGCAGTGAAACTATTCTGTATGATAACATACCCACAGATACAGGTCATCATGCGTTTGTTGAAACCCACAGAATGTACACCACCAAGAGTGAACCCTAAAGGAGACTGCGGGCTTGAGTTAATCATAATGTATCCACATCGGCTCATCAATTGTAACAAATGCAGCACACTGATGCAAGATGTTAATAAGAGGGGAAAGAGTGTATGCATGTTTGTGTGTGTGGGGTGGTGTATGGAAACTCTTTGTGCTTTCTGCTCATTTCTTCTGTAAACCTAACACTGCTCTAAAAAGAAAGTCAAGTTCATTAGTTAAAGGGGAAAAAGGATGAGCTGAAGCCAAGCAAGTGGAAAGTGAGAGGAAGGGACCCTTGGTGGAGTGCACAGCAAGTTCAAAGGCCTGGAGTGGGGAACGTGCTTGGGGTGTCCAGGACCTGCAGGAAAACGGCGAGAGCAGGGAGGGAGAGGGGCGGTCTGGAGGGCGTTGCAGGAGAGGGGGACCCAGGTGCTGTGTGAGCAGAGGCCTGCAATTGCCTGAGAATCATACATCTTGGGGAACAAATTCAATTCCCTTAATCTTTCCCTCCTTATCTATCATACAGGGAAATGGAGGCCCAGAGAAAGGCAATGAGATCCAAAGGCACACAGGTGGCTGTCTAACCCACACTTGCAGGTTGCCCACAGGATGTCATTAGCGCTACCAGAAAAGAACCCACGGGACTTCACACTATCCCTTTGGGGTAAGGAACTACTTTATCCGCATTTCACAGATGAAGAAGGGAGCCCAGAGAGGCAAAGCCGCTTGCTCAAGGTAACACGGCAAATGGCCAGTGGCTGAGGCTGACTCTCACCCATCACACTGGCAGCTGCAGGAAGCATGTGTGAGCTCACCTTGAAGTCTCCAGCAGCCCGGGGAAGCTGCTGAGGGGAGCCCTACCGCCTCCCGCCACTGTGCCTGGCACTGCAGCACCTCTGGGCCCCATCACCTGGCAAACGGGGCTTATCAGCAAGGGGTTGCCGAATCCACAGCCGGATGAATCAGGGTGAGGGGCGCACTTCTGAGGCTTCTTCCAGCTGGGAGGGTCCAGGACTGTGGACCCCAAAGGAGTCCCTTGGTGCCAGTGTGGTGCCTGCAGCAGACCTGGGCTGTGAGGGTCCAGCTGCTGTCAGTGGCAGAGCCCTCCTGGCCCCAGGCAAGGCGTCCAGGTCAGGAGCTGCCTGCACCCTCACCCCTGGCCACGGCTCTGCAGCTGACCAGGGACGCCTCCAGGCCCAGAACGTGGGTTCTGGAGTCAAGAGACCAAAGCTGGATGCTGGCTCCAGGTTACACCACGAGATGCACTCCCTCCGATACCCACTTGGCTCTCCCTTTCTCCAGGTCTTGACTTACACAGCATCTGCCGGTCGAGGTTCAAAATTTCACGGTCCTCACTCCCCCCTCACACACTCACTTTCTATTCCCTTGCTCTGCTTTATTTTTCCAAAAGGCCCCTGTCCCCAATATACTCGTTTATTTTACACACACACTCCCCACTAGAGTAGAAGCCCCCAAGGGCAGGGGGACTTGTCTGCCTGTTGGCTGCTGTGTTCCCAGTGTCCAGTCAGGGCCAGCACACAGCCACAACGCGAGTGACAGTCCCTTGCTGGCGGGGCTGTGGCGTGTAGCCCCAAGTGGTGTGTTCGAGATGCCCCTGGGGCGGGCTGGCTGCCGGTGGCCCCCGGGGCGGGTGTGCGTGGGAGGAGAGATGTCATTCTCCAGTCTTCTCCCTGACGAACGCCAGTAACGGCACAGGCCTGCCGGCAGCTGCAGCAGCTCGAGCCTCTCCCAGCGCCTCCTGAGCCTCAGTTTCCCTCCCTGAAGGGCTTCCTTGAGGACAATGTCTCGGACAACATTTCTTGATGCCATCATGCAAGGTTCTTTACAGGGTGATGGGCATAGCAGTAGGTCAGGCTAGGTGGGACCCTGGAAAGTGAGGGGCCAATTCTCTCCGTCCATCATAAGTCCTGCGGACCCCAATCTCCCCACCCTGAGGTGGCGCGGGACCTAGTCTCCCCATCTATCTAGGATTCTGGGGATCCCTCTGAGGCTGCGGGGCCAATCTCGCCATCCATCAGGGGTTCCAGGGACCCTTCCGAGGTACTGGGGTCCCCTCTCTCCATCCACCAGGGACCTCGGGAGGCCGCGGGCTCCAGCGTTCAGCTCAGAGGCCCGGGTCCCGGATGCCGCCCCCGCTCCAGGTCCTCCCCGCCGCGCGCAAGCCGGAGCCCGCGGGTGCCCCGGGGATCCCTGGGGCGTCACGCCGTGTTGTGGAGCGCGTGTTGACGCCGTCGCCGGGGAGACGGGCGGGGGCGGGCCCGAGCGGGGGGCGCGGCCTGGACGCGCGCGAGGGGCCGGAACGCGGCGCAGAGCCCTGGCGGCCGCAGTGGCCACGGCCGCCGCCGCCCGCCGGCTTATATACCGCGGCTAAATTTAGGCTGCGCCCGGAGCTCGTCCCCATCCGGGACGCGTTTCCGCCGCTGCCGCCTTGGCCCGGCCCCCGCGCGCGCCGCGCCTATAAGGCTTGGGCGGGCCCAGCCGCTGCCCGCAGTGCCGTCCCCGCCCGCCCGCGCCCAGACCAGCCCAGCTCCGGGCAGCCGCTCACCGGTGTCCCGAATCCGCGTCGGTCCCGGGTCCCGGACATGGCGCTGAGCGAGCCCATCCTGCCGTCCTTCTCCACTTTCGCCAGCCCGTGCCGTGAGCGCGGCCTGCAGGAGGTGAGGGCGGCAGGGACCACGGGGGCGACCGGGACCGCGGGCGGCGGGGGCGCTGACTCAGGGTAGCAGAACTTGGGCTGCGGGGTAGTAGAACCCAGGCGGCGGGCGGCGATCCCCGGACCCCGCCGCGCGCTCACGCCCGCGCCCTACCGCCTTGTCACCCGCAGCGCTGGCCGCGCGCAGAGCCCGAGGCAGGCGGCACCGACGACGACCTCAACAGCGTGCTGGACTTCATCCTGTCCATGGGGCTGGACGGCCTGGGCGCTGAGACCGCCCCGGAGCCGCCGCCGCCGCCGCCGCCGCCCCCGCCGCCTGCGTTCTACTACCCCGAGC